AATCCACAGGTGTTTCTGTCTATCCTCCCACTGTGAGAACACAACTCAATGCTACAGGTCTGAAAGGATGTGTAGCTGTCAAGAAGTCCTTACTGAGAAAATGAAAGAGACAGAAGAGAAGCGACAAAGCAGCTGCTGGTGTTCACAGAACAATGGACTGACTGGCCCAGAGTCCAGACCTCAACATCACTGAATGTGTTTCAGATTACTTGAAACAGAAAATGCAACCAACTTCTAAGACTGAACTTTGAAGGTGTGGAAAAATATCCCTGCAGACTTCTTTGAAAAACTGAAAGCAAGTTTCCTGAAAAGAATGGAAGCTGCAACAAAGGCAAAGAGTGGACACACTGTAAGAAATGATTTTATTTGGTTATCGAGGCTTCTGAATAATTTTCTGTTAAATATATGTTGCTGTCTTTTTTCTCTGACACTGAGTACATAGATGTAATAAGAACTTTCTAAGCCTAACCTTAAACCTAAGATTACAGTTAACCTCAGTAACCAAAAAGGAATGGTTTTGCCCTTTCAGTTTTAAAAATAAGAGTCAAGACCAAGACTCAAGGTTAGCCCTGTTTTCTATGGTATTTCTACAAAGTCAGGACACTTTTGTTCTCGAAACACACGCAAACACATGCACACACACTACTCACATACACACGCTCAAACAGAGAACCTGCATCTACTCAACAAGCTCTGTGGCTTACACACATGTACACATGCACACCCCTCCACCTGCCGAGAGACAGTGCAGTCTAATTAACATTTTCCTGGAGTACAGCTCGCCCCAGGTGCAACTTGTCTCGCGATACACACGCCGTATACATGAAGAATGGAAGATTCCGCCGCACTGGCAAATTTATTCAAAGAGGAGCTCGTTTGTGTCTGACACACACTTCAGCACTTCACTATGATTTATGAACCTGCTCATTGACCCAGTTTATGTTGAAAAGGGAAAGAGAGCACGCTCATGACAGCATTACTGCACCAGATACAGCCACTACAGCACGGCCGGGGCATGGAGTCAGGATGTGAATAGTAAAAGAGAATGAGATTAAAAAGAGTAGAGGACTCTCTATATATGCCCACTGGGCATCCTTTCATTCTAGGCTTTCCTTCTTCCTTCCTTTTTTTCACTAGGTAAAAATGTAAGCAAGGGAAGCTCCAGAGAAAAATACAGTACAGACATGTAAAGGCATAAAATACATAGCACTCTATTGGCTCAGTAAGAGGGTCAGTTAGAAATTACAAAGTAATTGCTGAAATGTTAAGCTACTACATAGGGCATCTGAGAATTCTGAACCTGCCAATCACTAAATATTACACTCAGTGGCCACTTTATTAGAAACAGTCAAAGTAGGAGACTGCTGTCATGCCCTATTCATCTTTGGTCAGTTTCAGACCACAAAACCACTCTTTTCTGGGTATTTTTGGATGAAGGGTCAATCTCAGCCTAGTAGGGACACAGACGTGCATAAATACACTCCTATCAGCGACCCACACTATCATGCCACTAACATGGCAGTGTCACTGCTGAGCTGAGAAAGGCCCACCAGACATATATTATCTAAATAGATAGACAGATTTGGAAATATATATTTAGCACATTTCAGTCAATAAACAGCATTTTTGGACATATACGCTGTTTATCGAGTGGCGACTGCCCATTCTATGGCATTTCCAAATGTCCTTTTCCATAATCTCCTCACAAATGTGATTTTATTCTCCAACAAATTATCGATAACCCACAGCACAAGTGCTCTTTGTTGCATTGCTAATGGTCGATATTTAAAGGGGTGCATTTAGGAAGTGGACACCTCCTTCCAATCTGCTGTGATATTAATAATGCAGCGAGCACCATTCAGAGGCCCCCTTCTCTCTCCCCCTGTCCAGCCCGCTCACCGGGCAGCTCCACTGGTGCACGCAGAACGCCTGCCTTCAATCTGTTTCCACACAGCTATTCAGTCAGCTCATGGGGGTCCTGCACGCTCATGCACAGCAAAACACTAGAGCTGGCCTCCACATTATGAAAGAGAGGGGCTGGAAAACATGCACCAGCTAGATAATAAAGAAGGGGAGTGTTTACGGACTAAAGAGTGTGTGGGCTGTAGTTGAGGGGGACCCAACAATGGAGTTTGGTCTGATAGCTTAAACAGAGGGAAAACACATACATTAGGAAAAGTCTCTAGAATAAACTTGTTTGACATGATTGATTTAATGATATGATATATATATATATATATATATATATATATATATATATATATATATATATTTAGAGAGGGGCTTACTGAAAGATGTATATTACCTATGTTGTAGGTTTTTATGTCATTTACTGAGTAAATAAATAAACCTAAGACTAGGGCTTAAACTGTGTCAGAAATTAAGCCCATTAAGTGGGTGAACTCAGTGAATAAAACAACCATATCTTGTTAAATCCACTGAAAAAATAAGCACCATTTTATAAAACAGTACAGATGATACGGTCCATTAGAGCTTTTGTCCAGTTTTTGGCTTATCTAGCTGTACTTCCTGTACCCTTCATCTTTTCTGGCCCTTCTGACCTGTAACCCTTCACCCTGAGGCAGTAAAGTATTCAACACTCTATGTCCACCAGAGAGAGAGAGAGAGAGAGAGAGAGAGAGAGAGAGAGAGAGAGAGAGAGATAGCAAAAAAAAGCAGAGAGAGAGAGAGAGAAAAAGACAGAGAAAGAGCAGGAGAGAGAGAGAGAGAGAGAGAGACAGAGGGAGTGTAAGAGAGAGAGTTAAAGAGGAAGAAGGAGGGGAAGAGAGAGCAGGAGCCAAGCTGAAAAAATAAAAGAATAATCGAGGGGCTTCATCAATTTTTCATGAATTTTCATTTAGGCGAGGAGACCCCTCTTAAAGCGATCGATAGATCAAGCGGCTGTCACACAGTTAGCACCTGGGGGCTGCTGCCATGGCCACGGAAGAGCTGGGAGAAGATCAGAGACAGCTTGCCACAGCAACACACACCCCCCACCAGCTTCTTATACACACATACAGACACACACACACACAAACACAAACACACACACACACAGCCCGTTTCCTACTTCCTCGCCTTTAACCTGCATCACTGCTGAGCACCTTCAGCTCCTGGCTGATAAATGGCAAATGAAGCAGCTCTCTAAATGTTGTACTGAAAAGCTCCTGCAGCCTCTACATTTCTCCCTCAGGTTCAGGCACAGAATCCAATTCAAACACACACACATTCGTTATGGGAGTCTCGGCTAACAACGCAGCCGATTTAGTTATCCATTCATTCAATATTTATCATCATTTCCTTGTTTTGTGATGGATCGTTCCCATCTTCATAACAAAGCGAAGAAGAGTGTGCAGTATTGATCAGCTTGGCTGAAACAGACTTCATGATCGGGGGGGTCTCTTAGGCTGCAAGTCCAGACTTTTGCCCCCACAGACTTTAGCCCAGTGTGCCTTAATCTTTACCTCTAGATTGGCATCCAAACTAGTAGCCTTCGTTCTTGAGCTTGGACATAATCTGTACCATAAAAATATATTCTATACCTCACAATGTCCGTAAACCAGTGATCCATCTTTTTGATATACTCATTAATGAGATCTGAGATATGAGTCAGATATGATCCACAACTGATGTGGATTCGTAGTCACTATAAAATTTGAATAGTACTGGTAGTGAGCCAGGTATCAGTATCAGGCTGATATCAGCAGAAAATGCTGCACTCGATATCAGAGGGGAAAAGAATGAATCTGATCCAACAGGAGAGTGTTTGAGTAGTTTGAGCATGATATCCTACCCACCCATAGATGCTCATCCTAAATAAAGTTCTTCAATTAAAAATACCTTATTTTAAAGCTTATATATAGGATTAGATCGTTATATATAATATCAGATCGTTGTCCACTGATACTCACTAAAATATCAAAAAAAAAGCAGTAGAAAGTAATGTTTATGCAATTTGTTACCACACTGGTGTCAGAGTCTGGAACAGAAAATGTCTGCACTGTTGAGTATTGATGTCAATATCTATTCATGAAAAAAACTAAATGGCCATCATCCTCATAATCAATTTTATTAGTGTTGGCATCTATGAAGAGAGAACTGGGGCAGGCAGTAGAGCTGTCAGTCATATGACTGTGCTCTTAGCAGAGATGCTAAGCAAGGCCTTGCAGGACATGTTCCCTCAGGGAGTGCTCATTAGCCTGGTGGGGGCGCTGTAATGCATTGTGGGGGGTTGCTGCTTCAAAGCTAAGCCCATCCACAGGTCACCCTCAAATCCGTCAATATTCCCCCCACGGACTTACTGCCAGTGTCAAGTGACACCCCCCATCTCTCTTTCATCTGAGCCCTCTGGTCTTTTCTTGGCCTGTTCTATCATTTCCATCTCCTGTCTACAGAAGGGGCAGCCAAGAAGCTGGCCAAAGCAAACTGAAAGGGCAGAAAGTACCAAGCTTGCTCTGAAAAGTGCTGATACGCTGAAATACAAGTCTAGCAAACTCTGCATATTCAGGAACAAGACAACGAACGGCTTTCTTTTATCCTGACTCTGATCTAAGAAAAGAAAGTTAATTTCATCAAAATCTTCTTAAGGCAAAGCTGTATTAACAAAACTGATATTAACCAAAACGCAAAGCCTGAAGCAACCCTGAAGCAAGCACTCTTTCCCTTCATCCGTTTTACGGTTTTCTCTGATTGCTATCTATTTTAAGGCTATAATTGTATATTATTTCCTGTATTAGGCTCAGACCAAAATTGTATGTCCATGTAATCACACAAGCCTTTGGCCAACAGCAACCTACATTAAAAACAACTAAAATAACGTTCCAAGGTTTGAACCTCCTTTCTGGTTTCAAACACACACCCAGCCATTCCATCTTTGTGTAAGAAATGGCCAAAAACAACCTTGAGGTCGCCTTGTAAGACATCCTAAAGAAATGAATAAAGAATGAGAAGATAGAACCTTGAAAAAGACAAGAGCGCCCAGATAAAATCCTTGGACTTACATGCTACTTCCAGCGAGGCATTGCGACTGACAGCTTCTCCGAGGTAGTTTCGGGCCACGCAGACATACGCCCCTTCGTCCGGTTTGCTGCGGCGGCCGTGGACTATTCTCAGGAAGAAGAGGGAGCCGCTGGGCAGTAGCATGCGGTGGGAGCGAGAATCGTCCTTGTCCGTCTCCACCCTCTCTCCGTCCTTGTACCACTCCACGGTGGGCGTGGGCCGCCCCTCGGCCTTGCAGTTGAGGGTGGCCGGCTCGCCCTTCGACACGATCAGGTCGGAGGGGTGCTCCACGATGCGGGGCGGGGAGTCCTCCTGCCGCAGACGGGATCCTGGAAAGCAGATACAGAACGAGAGAGAAATGAAGTGTGTGACTCTCTCAGGTGTTTCATAGCAGCAAGTCAGGCTCCTAGAGAAGGAATTGGACATCTTTCAAAGATTTCCTGCCACAGACTGGCTTTACGTGGCAAAATATGTACTTTCTGCTGCTTGAAACTTACATTGAACTAAATTTCACTTTTGTTGCACAGCTAGCCAATTTGTCCACAGTGCTGGACTAAAGTCATTCCCCATTGTATCCCTGTTGACTATGTTATTTAATTAAAGAAAAGCCTTTATCTTTGCCATAATTTCATTTACATTGATAATGCACAATGCAACATGCCCCAGTGATCATCACACTTAAGAAATCTCTAAAAATACTTCTTTAAAGAATCATTTTGAAGACTGATCAATACTACTTTAATTTCACAGCACTATAAGCAAAGAAAACTTTTTCCTTCTATTCTCCCTCTAAGTCTCACTACCAACTCTCAAGTATTATTCTTTCCATGTCACACACTATTCAAACCTGCTTACCCAGTGAGCTAATTCGGGGCGTCATGTAGTGCACTAGCAGGCCATCGGGGATCTGCCCCGTGTGACAGAGGGCTTTCGAGGGGTTAGACCCACGCTGTGTTAAAATGCTAATCCCCTGAGCCTTCCACTGCATGGCTCTGCTTCATGTATGGGTGATGCTAGCAAGCTGTGCTAGAAGTCTGGCCCTTATGATAATGGTGCTGGGGAGAGCGGTGCGGTGCGGGTCTTAACCCCAGAGATAAGGAGCATGGGGCCACCCAGCATTTACATTACTGAAGCCTGGACGAGCTGAAGACAAAAGCGGGTCCTGATCCCCGAAAACCAGCCAAAAAGAGAGGCTTAGACTGGCCGGCTAATGCTGCCATGTTAGCATTACACGCTTCAATAGGACATGGCTAGTGTGTGTGAAGGCCCTCTCTTGATTGTAAATGCTCATTTTCCACTCTTTTCAAGGATTTGAATTGCTTAACTCTCAGAATGACTTGAGAAAAGAGTAAGGGGGAGGTTTATTTTAGCATTTGATTACACTGGCTGCTCTGAGTGTGTGTTTGGGCATAGAAATACATCAAAATCTCTTTTCTTCTAACAAAATCAAGACTATGCTGAGCTGAGAAAGTGTCATTTAAAATAACTAGCTAGTTCTGTTATTACTACATCCTCTTTCTGATGTATAGTGCAGTACATCACTTCACTGGAGCGAGCAGAGCAAACGAAACAGGGGCATGGAGGTCCCCAAGGAGGCCAGGTGTTCTGCTGACGTATAAAAGGTGCGTGGTAGCAAGTTCTTTGTGTCAATGCTGTATAAAACAGTCGTGGGGGTGGTGGAAGAAAGCAGAATGGGGCTTTTAGTTTAGTGGGCCCAGAAGAGCTTGAATGCTGATGGTGAGTGTGCATAAAGCGCAGCTCACTGGGTGGATTTGATATAGAAGCACATTCAGCACTCTGAAACAAGGACAAGGGTAGGAGAGGGAAGCCATTCGGTCAGCATGAAAATGTGTATGTAATTTTGGTGTAAGTAAAAAAAAGTAAGTGAGGCTGTATGTGTGTGGTAGGGCTGTAAGACATGGAGGTAAATGTATCATGATTATGCTGGTACTTTTATTAGGCTTATTTTACCACTGCGGGAGAAAACAGGGTATGAATGTTGATAAGTAATTCAACTGTGAAACACATTCTGTTATACCGAACAACATCAGTGAAGTTGCAACAGCACTGACTAACAGCACTGACCAAATTACTAAAATCTGAGCATTTCTAAAATCACACTGTGAATAGAAAATGGCAAATATTGCATCATGTTGCATCACTGACAATATCTTTTGCCAAAATTTTAGACAAATATATACTGGGGAAAAAAGACATCTCTTGAGATCTTACAATCCAAAAAAAAAACAAACACTTCATTTTCTTTTTCAAAAAGACATTTCAGTAACACCACTAACAAAAAATCTTGAGACAAAGTCTATTACCAAAATAAAATGATATTTATCTCTGTAGAATACATACGGACAGACAATAATTTAATTCATTTTTACATTTTATCATCAAAATTCTCGTTTCCTATAAAAAAATAATACAACATCTATAAAGTCACTACTGTTTTTCATGCACAACATGACTAAAAATCCCCCAAAAAATCCAAGAGAAGAATTTGCACAGCTTTTTATTGGTTAATTCAGGAATATAATAGAGAATACACAGATATTGGCATTCTATGGTATAGTCTTATTTTCAAAAGTGGTGGGACTCCATTTGCCTCTGCCAAAAAAAACCCAAAACGTCTGTGATTGGATACGATGCTCACAGCATGTGACTAAACACACGGTGATTGGTTAGATGCTAATTTGCATATTGCAGACTGCGATATCAGTAATGCAACGGCCAGCACTGTGGTTAGAACTAAAAGATGATAAACTGTGCAGCGCTCATGCTTTGCGCTTCTGAGTATGATGTGTGTCTTGTCCTTCTGTAAAGACTCCATAAGGTCAATTGTCTCCCACTGTGTTGTATTGACCCTGGTTTGGAGGAGGTGACTTCTCCCACTTCACCTAATTCGGGCTAATTCTTGCCATTTCCCTCTCATTGATTAATGATCAGTGCTGGTGTCTGCTGTCTAAGTGGAGCAACGGACAAAACACAGGCCAGGGACGAGGTCACAACCTGCTAATGGGACATGATCTAATCTACTATAGACTCTAAAGGTGTGATAGTTATTTAAATACAGTTTACTGTGCAACTGTACAGTGCATGTTTTATTCACTCTGTCTCACTCATTTCTACATTCTCTACATCAGTTTCCTTACAAACATACTTTACTGTGCAAAAGACAGACTTTACAGCCAAAATGGCCATTAAGTACATCATTATGGCCACTATTTTTCAGCGCTATGAAAAAGCATCAACAACTACCTTATTATTTTTTCAGTTCTCCAAAGTTCAGCCGTGGGAGTTAGCTGAATTTTCTGCTCCTTACGGGCCAAGTAATCCCAAACAGTGATGTTCAGTGATGATCAATAATGGTGGCCAGTTGGCTGTTCTGAGATCACCAGCATTCCTCTTTTTTATTTTTGTCTATTTCCTTTTCTCAGTAAGGGCTTCTTGACAGCTACACATCCTTTCAGACTCATAGCATTAAGTCATCTTCTCACAGTGGATTTTTTTCAGATCTGAAGCAAGAAAGGAGCTTGATTTTCTCTCAAAGATGAAAGCTTTAAGTACTGTATTTCTGATGGGGACAGTTTTGATGGTCTACCAGGTCTTGCACGGTTGTTAGGAGTCCCATTTCTCTCAATCTTCTAATCATTTTTCAACTTCTGTTTTGGAAACTCCTGTTGTTTCCACTTATTTTCCTTTGCTTTTCTCCTTCCTTAGGCAAGCTTGTATCCAATCTCCTCAGAAATATCTCCTGAAAAATGAATAATTTGTATCTGATGGCTGTTTTGACTGGAAATAAAATAAATGAGGGTGGTCTCTGACTTTTACACAGAACTGTATGTGCAGTTCTACTCAGTTCCTTTTTCTTTTTGGGGAGAATCTCTCGTCATATATCTGTGTTTGTTTGGTGTCCTCTTCTATCGCTTAATGAGATATTCAAATCTCAAAGAAGCCAAGTCACATGACCTCTAATTCATTGCTAGCTAATTTTGTCCAGCTATAGAACGCTGGGGGAACACCGATTCAAATCCTCAGAAATATTTTCACAATAAGGAATCACATACTAAATTACGGAATTTGCATTAAACACCAAAGTAATGAATTAAGAGCTAATTAATATTATGACATTGATAAACTGGGGGGGCAAGATAAGGTGACAGTGTTATAGACCTTCTTCTTCTCCCCCATTCCATCCCTCCTCACACACACACACACACACACACACACACACAGCTATCTCATTGGAGCATCTGCTTCCCCTCTATAACACAGTGTTACTGGCGGAGGTTTTACATGGTTGTGGCAAAGATGTGAACGTTCGCCATGCAATTCGATTTCTATCAGTTTAATTTCTTTTAATCCAATTTGTATTCCAATCTACATCCTCTAATCACTTAAACCTTGAGGCACCATCTGCCTGCTGCTTCTGTAAAGCAGGAGAAAAATGCACTCAGCAGATGCCTGCATGACTGCTAAGGAAAAGGGGGATGGCTAATGCATTGAAGGATGAATGTGACTGCACAAAATCCTTTTCATCGAGATAAACAGAATATGGATTGTTTTACTGTCTCTGTGTACCATGCAAACATTACTGCATTTGTATACATATTTCATGAGCACACTTCTTACATTTTACACACAAACCGAAAGCCTCTGAATTACCTATAAAATCAGTGCAGCCACAATTCTGCTAATCTTGCAATTAGCTAAGAGCCACAATTAATGCTTTCCACTCATCAGGACACCCGCAGCAGCACAATCAAACAGCTCAGCTTCCACAGACCAGTGAGAAACGAGCATATGGACATTATATATATATATAAAATTACACACAATCATAATAACATACACAGATGCGGAAATACATGTGTGTAATACTAATACATCCCTTCAGGTTTAAAACAAGATGTTTCATGCAAGTGACCACAGCCCTGTTATTTTGACCAAGAAGACCAGTATATCCATTTTTCAAGCTTGAGGACTGAACACTGTCAATGTCTTTTTAAGACAATGCTGCTAATAAAGTATGCTATAATTAAAATTGCAGCTCTTGCCATTTTTACATTGACACTCTTTCAAACTGTGATTTCAACTATGAAATGATTCATCTTTCAGTCCCTAAACCACCGCCTTCAATTTTCACAGTCTCTCCCTGTTTTGACACACATGGACGTTGCATATCACTGTGAAAGGCTAATGTATCTTTCTATCAGCCGGCCCGCTAGACTGGCCACAGGCAAAGTCAATTTGTTTCATTCCACTGAAGCGCTTTTTTCTCCTCCCTCTCTCTCCCTGTCCGGTAAAACACTGTCGCTGTTGC